GTGATCTAAAAATTCATGTTGAAAGATTATTTTATTTATATATATTATATTATATTATATTATATATATATATTATATTATTATTATATTAATTATTCAAAAGAAAACCTGGAACACGAATTGGACCCTCTTCAATCTGAACCAAAGAGAATCAGGAAGAGTCAACACAGATATTCATGTTCGCAATGTGAATATGCGGCAATTACAGCAAGTTATCTAAAGATCCATGTAGAAAATAAACACAAAGGAGTGAGATATCCTTGCCCTGAATGCGACTATGCCGCAACTACAGTAGGTGCTCTGAAAATTCACGTGGAAAGTAAACATGAAGGTGTTAGATATCCTTGCCCTGAATGTGAGCATGCTGCAACTACAGCAAGTGATCTAACACGACATGTTAGAACTAAGCATGAAGGAGTGAGATATCTTTGTTCTATATGCGACTATGCCGCAACTCGAGCAAGTCTTCTGAAGATACATGTTGAAAGTAAACATGAAGGAGTGAGATATCCTTGCCGTGAATGTGAGCATGTTGCAACTACGGCAAGTGATCTTAGGAGACATATAAGAACTAAACATGAAGGATCGAGATATCCTTGTTCTCTATGCGACTATTCTACTACTCAAGCAAGTCATCTGAAGAAACATGTTGAAAGTAAACATAAATGAGAGAGAAATCCTTGCACTGAATGTGAGTAAGCTGCAAGTTCAGCAGGTGATCTGAAGATTCATGTTGAAAATTAACAGAAATGTGTGGGATAGACATGTTCTCAATGTGAGTATGTTGCTACTTTAGTCTAGTGGCATGTTAAGAATAATTATTAGCAGGATCAACGTTATTTTGTTAAAATAATTAGTAAAATAGTTTTTTTCTTAGATTTGTTTTTTAACTCATTAACTGTAATCCTAAATACTAAATGCTTTCTTTAATTTCAATATTTTACAGATTTGATTTTAAATTTTTTATATTACACCATGAATGCCATTTCTTATATTACATCTGACAAAAAATAAGTTTTCCAAAGAAATTTTATTTTATTTAGAAAAATATAAATTATGTTACTGTAATTTAGATGGTTGGTCAAAACATAGCTATACAAAATAATGATTTTAATAGCGGAATGTCATATTTTTCAGCTGATTGGTCATACAGGTGTGTCAGCTGTGTTAAAGCAACATGTTTAATTTTTACGAGTTCTGTATTTGCGGTTGCTTAGTTTTCTTTAGTTGTACCAGGTTTTAGAAGTTAAAGAAATAATTAATTTAATCAAATAAATAAAAAGATCTAAATAGATGGGACCTGCATTCATTTACATTTCAGATAGAATGGCAGAGATTATGAAGAAAGAATTAGATGTCAAGGAGTTTGAGACGACATCCACTGTAGAGGATACATGTTTCATTAATATATCTGAAGATAAAATAAAAATGGAAAATATAGAAGTACAAGGTAAACTTAAAACTTTAAATGATTTATTAATAAAGTAACAAACGGTCCAACTAACCAAAAAAAGAATAAATTACCAGAATCTTCCTGTTAAGAACTATAAAATTAGTACGCACATGTTTTTGATTTTCACACCATAATTAATAGTTGCAGGATTTGAAAATAATAGTTTTACTAATAATGTTAAAATAAAATTTAAAAAATATCCATTTTGAAAACAAGCTTAATGCTTAATTCAGGATGACTTTCTTATTCCTTTATTTAATTTTAAAAGAAAACACTGAAATTTCCATTTGGCTAGCTGGGCTAGTTTTAAAATCCATTATTTCAGTTTATGTCAAGTGGTGTTGCCAGCCTAATATATAGAAATCAACTATTCTGCTTCAGTTTTTCAACTCGATGGCTATAATTTCACGGATTATAATTTTTTCCTGGATTTGGAAATTCGAATTTTTTATCCCTGTGGTCATGTGAGGTCCCACAAAAAATGTGGACCCTATTTGTTCAGCCTTTATTGGACACAAACACGCAAAGTAATCTTTATGGGGTGAGTCTAGAAAAAACCGGGATTATCGATGTCTTGGAGAAAATTTTAACAATTTGTTTGATCGGGAAAAAAGTAAACAAATAAATTAAATAATAAAATTTTTTTAAAATATTGTTTTGCAGTTATTTATAACATTTAAAAATATTTTTTTTTATTACATGTATCTTTTTATGCCTAAAGTTCAAAGCAAACAAAAAATTTAATTTTTGTTCCAATTATTAAAATTCCGGTTTTTTATTCATTCTTTATAACAAAGCTCTTTGCTCATATTTATATTTTTGTAAATTTAAATATTAGTTTTACGTGGCCAACCGACTAAACCAAATTGACTGAAAGTTTTTTTTAAAAACCCATGGGCACCCTATGGGTAAAAGTTTAAAATTTTTTTTTCAAAATTCTATATTTTTTAAATTTCACGGAAAACGTAGTGCACTTCAGCTAGTTTATATGATAAAGCCCTTCGTCAATATATATACATATCTATATGTTAATGTCAGCTATAGCTGGCCAAATGGCTGAACCAAACTGGCTGAACATTTTTAGGAAACCCAGGGAAAAAATCGAAGTTAATTCAAATATTTTATTTTTTTTGAGGAAACCCATGGGTTCTTTGTATTTAATATATATAAAAGTTTACAAATGAACTTTATTACTAATAACAGAAAGTAGAAATAACTAATTAACTATTTAGAAGAAACCTTATATTCTGACTTGGATCCTCTTCAATCTGAATCAAAAAGAATAAGGAAGAGTCAACACAGATATTCATGTTCTCAATGCGAATATTTTGCATCAACAACAAGTAATCTGAAGTCCCATGTAGAAAGTAAACACAAAGGAGTGATCTATCCTTGTCCTGAATGTGAGTATGTAGCAGCTACAGCAGGTGCTCTCAAAATTCATCTAGAAAATGCAGCAAGTTACCTGAATAAAAATGTTAAAAATAAACATGAAGGAGTAAGATATCCGTGTTCTCAATGTGACTATGTTGCAACTAGAGCACATCATCTGAAGAGACATGTTGAAAGTAAACATAAAGGAGTAAGATATTTTTGTCCTCAATGTGAGCATGCTGCAACTACACCAAGTGATCTAACGCGGCATGTTAGAAATAAACATGAAGGAGTGAGATATTCATGTTCTCAGTGTGATAATGTTGCATCTCAAGCAGGTGCTCTTAAGATTCATGTTGAAAGTATACACGAAGGAGTAAGATATCCATGTTCGCAATGTGGGTATGTCGCAACTACAGCAGGTTCTCTGAAGAAACATGTTGAAAGTAAACATGAAGGAGTGAGATATCCTTGCCCTCAATGTGAGTATGCCGCAACTACAACAGGTGATCTAAAAATTCATGTTGAAAGTAAACATGAAGGAGTGAGATATCCATGTACGCAATGTGATTATGTTGCAACTCGAGCAAGTTATCTGAAGAGACATGTTGAAAGTAAACATAAAGGAGTAAGATATCCATGTTCGCAATGTGAATATGCCGCAACTCGAGCAACTCAGCTGAAGAAACATGTTGAAAGTAAACATAAAGGAGTAAGATATCTTTGTCCTCAATGTGAGTATGCCGCAACTACAGCAGCTGCTCTGAAATATCATGATGAAAGTATACACAAAGGTGTGAGATATCCATGTTTGCAATGTGAATATGTGGCAATTATAGCAAGTCATCTAAAGAGACATGTTGAAAGTATACACGAAGGAGTGAGATATCCTTGTTCTCAATGCAACTATACTGCTACTCGAGCATATTATCTAAAGAAACATGTTGAAAGTAATCATGAATGAGTGATGTATCTTCACACTGAATGTGAGTAAGCTGCAAGTTCAGCAGGTGATCTGAAGATTTATGTCGAAAAAGTGAGCCAAACTTGTAGTTGGATGACAACATTTTATGTCCCAAGTATTTTAGAATAATATTGCGTGGCCCTTCTAATCTGTTTGTACTGAGAGTACTGAGTGTACAGTACTGAATTCAATGAACTTCATTTGTTTACAATCTTTATTCTGCGAAGGTGAAATTACAAAACACAAACCAAATAATTCCGTATGGCCCAACTAGTCGTATTTATTCTATCTGTTCTACTTAGGTATTTATTTACATTAGCGTTTTGGTGCCCTAAAAGGGTCAATAACTACTAACCAGGTCCCCCCTAAGATTTTTCATTTTTTTCGTTATAAATGTGTGCACAGTAACAAACTAGCTTTTTGCCATTTAGGTAAAAATTGATATTTTTTTCCGAAAAGAATCTAATCCCTCTTTTCCATTCCCTTCCTCTTTTCTGTTTCCTCTTTCTCTTTCTTTCTTTTTCCTTATTTTCTTTATTTTTTCCTTCAAACCCCTTAAACAGCACATATTTGTGAAGGGCAAAATGAAAAATAAACACCCTGTGTTTTTTATCTGAAAATTTAATTTTTTTACGATTGATTTGCTTGGTTGCTAGTTCTTGTTGTTTTTTGTTTTTCCAATATTTTCCCTTAAATTATGAAAGAACATGTGTTTTCATGTAATTTATATTATTCATTTGTAAATTTTGTATTTTACACTTAAATATATTCAGATAGAATGGCAGAGTAAATATAAGAAAAGTTAATTATAGAAATGTTTGAGATAAAAGAAGAGATAGTTTCCTTCAAGGAAGAAACCCTTCCCTCCTCTACTGTAGAGACTACATGTACTGTTAGTCTACTTAAAGATGATAGAAAGATGGAAAATTCAGGAATACAAGGTAAAAATTACAGTTTTGGCTTCTTTATAACACTCTGAAACCTTTTTAATTCAAATTTTTTTCGTGAGCTCTTGGTCTCTTCTTAATGAAAATTGAAAGCTTGAAGTCCATATCTTCCCAGCTAAGGTTGGATAGATTATTATATTATTTCTGTTCGGTTTACAGTAGTTATACCTATCTTGCAAGAATTCCCATTATTACACAGTTCAGAAGGAACTATTTTAATATTGTTTGCTTCCTAACGTTTAAAAATGCTTATTCTTACACTGTAGGTGTAGAATTTTCATTTTTTAGCGCTCAGAAGAATGGAAATCATTACATTGTTAGAGCGTGAATGAAGATAAAATTTTACCAAGTATAAATTTATTTCAAAAACATAAATTTTAGTTTCAGTATAAAACAACACAAAACTAAGTCACCATAAACACGAATGTAAAATGAACAGAATTTTACATAAAATTAGGATAAAACTCATCCAAAATATACTCAAAATAAGGTTTTGAAAAATTAACAGATGTGCTTCGGTAGTTTGAGCTTCACGGTTCGGCTACCGCCACTCGGGCATAACAGTATCATTGCACATGTCATGCTAACTCTGTGATCCACGCACCCCAAAAGGGGGCTCAAGGTTGCAGGAAGGGGTTGTTACCTAGTAACACTTGTGTTATTGGGGAGTCATAATAGATAGATAGATACTAAAATGAATAACTATCTGTTCTCAGAAAACCAAAGTCCTAGTATGACATTTAAAAAAAAAAACTGGAAAGAAAGCTGAATTACAAATTTCAATACAATCAAGGAACAAAGTACAACAAAGGAATATAATTTTTCAACAAAATCTGCAAGCAATATGTCATCATTAAAGTGTATTAAAACATTCAAAAACACACTTCTGCTTCTGCTGTTTATTATTTATGATCTGAACCCTGTTCCTTGGTTTTGGAGGCCAGGTTCTACCCAGATAAGAGGGTACTAATAATATTTATGATTTTTTTTTTTTTTTAGCTGAACTAATCAACTTTTTATACAGAGTGTACCATATCACAAAGGATTATCTCTAAGGTTTTATGCTGAAATATGCACAAAATACTAGAAAATCTTGGTGTTTTTCATGTGCAAAATTTTTAATTAGGCTTATACATTTTTATCAACTGATTCATTAAAAATACACCCTTTTCATTCAGAAAGAAGGAGGTCAAATATTTTTATTCAATGGACAGTTATTTGTTAAAAATCAAGTTTAATCTTGTTTGTTTAGAAGATTTGTTTACGTAAATTTTTCCCTCAAAAATATTTTGCAAAAAAACCTTGTAAAATAAAATCTAATATGAAATTTTAGCCATCTTATGGTTTGAAAGGATTTTGTTCAGCTTAACAATTTTTTTGAAATTAAAACATGAAAAAGACATTGAAAACTATGATTGAGAGGGATTAATATAAATGTCGTCTTGCATCTTTTCATAGAGAAGTCTAAATGTCGTCTTATATTGCATCTTTTTGAAGATAAGCTGATCTGTCACACATGTGTGTCAGCTGTTTTAAAGCATCATGTTTCATTTTCATTAATTTGGGTTGCTTTGCTTTTCTTTAGTTGTATCAGGTTTTTGAAGTTAAAGAAATCATTAATTTAATCAAGTAAATAAAAAGATCTGAAAAAAATCAATACTTATTTAATTTTGTTTGTTTTACATTTGCTTTGATAATAGCAAATACCTTGGCCCTGCCTCTGTAGCTGCCTGCATATGATTTTGCAGCCCAGACCGACATTGTTGTCCACAATCTGCAATCAGCTCAAGTATAGGTATAAGCTAAAATGTGGCCGTGCTTAAAACTAGTGTATGAAATAAAAAAGCACTAATTGCAAAAAACCACAAACAAAAACCAATATTTTCCATTTTGTTATGAACATCGCATTTGGCATTGATTTAATATTGGACCTTAATAAACTGACAAATTGTAGCGTAAACCAGTTTTAGACCATTTTTAATCTGCAAAATAAGGATTTAAATATCAATGACTATCAAATCCCACAATTTATTAAATTTTACAATTTTACAGTCAGCACACAAATTCAGTTAATCAGGTATTTTAACATCTAGAAACAAACATAGAAATACAAGAATGCTTAACCAACAAAACATATCAAGCATTCAACGATTTTTCAAATCAAAGAAAACTGATATTGATCCACAAGCTTCACAGATATGTGTTGAGCAATCTTCATAGATGAGAACACTTAATTTGCAGACACTTCAACCTGCAAAACAAACTGATTGTTTTTTGTTTGGTTGAATTTTTGTTTTCTTCATTTAAAATATTTTCATTGTAAGTCTTTAATAATTTTGTACATTATTGACAAATATTTTTCATCAATAAAATTATTGTTTGGATTATTTGTCTGTATTGCATTGATTAAGCTTAAGTCATGTTTCAGATAGAATGGCAGAAATGATGAAAAAAGGATTAGATGTGAAGGACTGTAAGATAACCTCTACTGCAGTAGAAGATACAGTTTTTGTGAATATACCTGAAGATGAAATTAAGCTGGAAAATTCAGGAATACAAGGTAAACTTGATAGTTTTACAATTTTTAAACAAAGAATACAGAATAGCGTCACAGCTGGTTTTTACCCAATAACACAAGTGTTACCAGGTAACCACCCCTCCCTGCAACCCAGAGCCCCCTTTTGGGGTGCGTGGATCACAGAGTTAGCATGACATGTGCAATGATACTGTTATGCCAGAGTGGCGGTAGCCAAGCCGTGAAGCTCAAACTACCGAAGCCTGTATCTACAGCCTGGTATTAAATATGACAAAAGTTTTCCTTTTAAAATTTCCTATGGCCCTCTGGCCAGGCCACTGCTCTATACTACCAGCTACTACTTCAATGGCTACTAGCTAGGCTAGTTTTCCATAAGCGGCCTTTTCTCACAAGCTTCATTGGTTCCCCGCTACACTACACAGCTGGTTTTTACTTCAGGGGGGGGGGGCAGAAAATATAACAATAGCACAAATAATATAACTATATTTCAACAAAAATTAAAACCATTCTTTCATAAAAATATAAAATTTTTGATCATTTGTAATTCTTGTTAAATGGTTATACTGTATATATATGGTTGATTATTGAGTTGATTAACTCCACTATTTAGAATAGGTTCTTGGTAACACAACGGTACTTAAAATGGTTTTATGTTGGGTTTAAAATAGTTATATCATAGTCCAATATTATTATATTTCTAGACAAAAATGTTTATATTCTTGATTGGCTATATTATTGGTCTGTTATAATTTTATTCAGTTATATTTTTGGTGGCTATANTTTTCTCTTTGATTATGATTATGAAATTGAGAAAATATTGTTTGTTGCTTTAACACCATCTTTAGGGCAACTCTATCTGAACTTGCTGATTTAGCAAAAAAAACATTTTTGTTATTTATTTTTAAGTTAGAAAGAATTGATATCTTTTTATTGTAATTTTTAAGATATTGATATTTTATTGTAATTCTATATAGCTGAATATAGCGTCAGTTGTTAACTAATTACACAAGACCTTAATTAAAAGATAACATTTTTTGTTTTTATGGTTTTACATTTATATTGTTTTTTCTAGAATTTATTTAAAGCGTTTATCATAAAATTTCCCTCAAAAATTATTCTTCTTATTTTCTTCAGTTTTTGGTAACGTGTCATTTTTTGAAAAAATAGAAATTAAAGAGGAAATTAACAAAAGTAGAAATCGTAAGACTTCACTTCATTATTGATTTAGTATAGTCACTTCAATTTTGGGGTGTGGGTGTAGGACGTCCCTAAAAGCGTAATTTGATTTCTTATTATTCTGAAAGATTTAGCACCGTGTCGTTTTTGAAAAATAGTACTAAAGTTGTGTTCTCACTAAAATTTATTTAAAATGTATATTTTTGGGTGCAAAAGGGGGGGGGGGGGTTAGGATCAACGCTAGACCACATTAAAGGCCAACAAATGTAAACAGAGATACAACGGATAAATAAATACTAAGATTTGAGACGCTAAATATCTTTTATATTCAGGAGAAAACGTCGATTGTGAATTTGATCCTCTGCAATCTGAACCAAAACCAAAGAGAATCAAGAAGAGTGAAGATGTATATCCATGTTCTCTATGCGACTATGCCGCAACTCAAGCAATTCATCTGAAGCAACATGTTGAAAGTAAGCATGAAGGAGTGAGATATCCTTGTTCTTGGTGCGACTATGCTGCAACTCAGGCAAGTCATCTGAAGCAACATGTTGAAAGTAAACATGAAGGAGTAAGATATCCCTGTTCTCAATGCGACTATGCCGCAACTATAAGTAGTGATTTAAAGAAACATGTTAAAAGTAAACATGAAGGAGTGAGATATCCTTGTACTAAATGTGAGTTTGCCGCAACTCAGGCAAGTCAGCTGAAGCGACATATTGAAAGTAAACATGAAGGAGTGAGATATTACTGTTCTCAATGCGACTATGCCGCAACTCGCGCATCTTCTTTGAAAATTCATGCTGAAAGTAAACATGAAGGAGTGAGATATCTTTGTTCTCAATGCGACTTTGCCGCAACTCGAGCAGATTATCTGAAGAAACATGTTGAAAATAAACATGAAGGAGTAAGATATCCTTGTTCTCAATGCGACTATGCCGCAACTATAGCAAGTGATTTAAAAAAACATGTTAAAAGTAAACATGAAGGAGCGAGATATCCATGCACTCAATGTAATTATTCTGCAACTACAGCAAGTGATTTAACACGACATGTTAGAAATAAACATGAAGGAGTGAGATATCCTTGTTCTCGATGCAAATATGTCGCAACTCGAGCAAGTCTTCTGAAGAAACATGTTAAAAGTAAACATGAAGGGGTGAGGTACCCTCGCACTGAATGTGAGTAAGCTGAAAGTTTAGCAGGTGATCTGAAGATTCATGTTGAAAATAAACAGAAAAATGTGTGATAGACATGTTCTCAGTAAGAGTATGTTGCTACTTTAGTCTAGTGACATGTTAAGAATAATTATTTTTAGCGTGAGCTGTCTTTGTTTTTCAAAATTAGTTTGTTGATTAAAAAAGAATTACAGGGTTACACGGCCCGTGGAAACTTCAAAGAAGTTTACTGCTGCAGGGGGGGGGGGTCAATCAAAAAGATTTCTGTGTAAACCAAATCATTTATTCATTTCCAAAATGAACAAGCTTTGTAAGCTTCTTCCTGACTTTTTTTTGTAACGGCCAAAAAAGTTTTCTAAAAAGTGACTTCAGAAAATAAGAGACTTTTTACCAACGTTTTTATTTCGTCTTATGTCAAGAAATTGATCATCTTTTCCAAGTTAGCTGATCGGCCAAAATTATCATGTTTTTAGTTTTACTAATTCTTTGATTGGGTTTGCGTAGCCTGAATTTCATTTTATATGCTCAATTTATTTTTCAGAAATAATGGCTGAGATGATTAAGAAAGAAGTTGATGTCAAGGAATCTGAGACAACCTCTACTGTAGAGGAGACATGTTTCGTTGATATACCTCAAGATGAAATAAAACTGGAAAATGCCGAAACAAAAGGTAATCTTGATAAGTTTACATTTTCTTTAAAAATAGAAGCGTATTTTGCAACTATTTTTATTCTTTCAGTTTCCCTTGATTTAATTCTTAGAGAAAGTACTGTAATTTCAATTTGAAGAGCTAGGGGAGGGTAAAAATAGATTTTAAAATCCATTCTTAACATTTATATAAGGTCACATAGTGTTACCAGTCAAATATATTGCAATTTGCTATTCTTATTTAGCTTTTAACTGGATTGCTTTTGTAAAAATATTAAAAATAATTCTCTCTATAATTTGTGTTGCTTTTATGGAATATTACGGGCAACTGTAAAATTTTTATTTGATTTCACTAAATTTTCAAACTAAATTAGTGTGTGTCGTCATGTTTACAATTGAAAGAATACTAGGTTGCTTAATTTTGTTAGAATGATTTTACAGTTAAAAACAATTAAAATTCAATGTGGGTGGTTTCATATGTTTATGATATGATAAGTTTTGATTTTATAAGTTTAGTGATCATATGTTTTGTATGAGCTCCATAGGTTTTGCACAAATATTGATATTCTATTATTTCAGTTTATTAATAATGATAACAACAAAAAGTTCATAAATCAAATTTTTTTGATTTATATCTTTCACTATTCAGGAGAAAACATGAATCAGGGATTTGATCCTCTGCAATCTGAACCAAAGAAATTCAAGCGGTGTAATGATGGATATTCTTGTAATGATTGTGATTATGTAGCTTCAAGAGCTAATCATTTGAAGAGACATGTTGAAAATAGGCACATAGGAATAAGATATGTGTGTGATGAATGTGAGTATGTTGCAACTAGAGCTGATCACCTGAAGAGACATATTGAAAATAAACACAAGGGAGTGAGATATTCTTGCTCACAATGTGAGCATGTAACAACTACAGTACATGCTCTGAAGATTCATGTTGAAAGTAAACATGAAGGAGTTAGATATCTTTGTTCTCAATGCGATTATGCCGCAACTCGAGCAGAGCATCTGAAGAAACATATTGAAAGTAAACATGAAGGAGTGAGATATCCTTGTTCTCAATGCGACTATGCCGCAACTCGAGCAGATCTCCTGAAGAAACATATTGAAAGTAAACATGTAGCAGTGAAATTTCCTTGTTCTAAATGTGAATTTGTTGCAACCAGAGCAGACAGTTTTAAGAAACATTGTAAAAGTAAACATGAAGGAGTGAGATATCCTTGCTCACAATGTGAGAATGCTATAACTACAGTACATGCTCTGAAGATTCATGTTGAAAGTAAACATGAAGGAGTGAGATATCTTTGTTCTCAATGCGACTTTGCCGCAACTCGAGCAGAGCATCTGAAGCAACATGTTGAAAATAAACATGAAGGGGTTAGCTATCCTTGTTCTCAATGGGACTATGCCGCAACTATGGGTAGTGATTTAAGGAAACTTGTTGAAAGTAAACATGAAGAAGTGAGATATCCATGCCCTCAATGTGATTATGCTGCAACTACATCAGGTAATCTGAATATTCATGTTAAAAGTAAACATGAAGGAGTGAGATATCCTTGTTCTCAATGCGACCATGTCGCAACTCGAGCATCTAATCTGAAAATTCATGTTGAAAGCAAACATGAAGGGGTGAGATATCCATGCCCTCATTGTGATTATGCTGCAACTACATCAGATCATCTGAATATTCATGTTAAAAGTAAACATGAAGGAGTGAGATATCCTTGTTCTCAATGTGACTTTGCCGCCACTCGAGCATCTTCTCTGAAAATTCATGTTGAGAGTCAACATGAAGGAGTGAGATATCTTTGTCCTGAATGTGAGTTTACTACCACTAGAAAAAGTTACCTGAAAAAACACGTTGAAACTAAACATAATTAAGTGAGATATCCTTAAGTTTGTTTTTGTTCTCAATGCTTTATGTTGCAGCTCGAGCGTTTCTGTTGAAAATTCATGTTAAAAGTAAACATCAAGGAGTGATGTATCTTCTCACTGGATGTGAGTAAGCTGAAAGTTCAGCAGGTGATCTGAAGATTCATGTTGAAAATAAACAGAAAAGTGTGGGATAGACATGTTCTCAATGTGAGTGTGTTGCTACTTTAGTCAAGAGGCATGTTAAGAATAATTATTATTAGCCTGAACTGTCAATCAATCTACTTTTGAGATATCAAAGCTGTATTCAATCAATCAATCTACTTTGAAGATATTGGAGCTGTATTCAAATAATCAATCTACTCTGGAGATATCAAAGCTGTATTCAATCAATCAATCTACTCTGGAGATATCAGATCTGTATTCAATCAGTCAATCTACTCTTTAGACATTGGAGCAGTGTTAAATCAATCAATCTACTCTGGAGACATTAGAGCTGTATTCAATCAATCAATCAATCTACTCTGAAGATATTGGATCTATATTCAGTCAGTCAATCTACTTCGGAGATATTGGATCTCTCCTAACTTCATACAGTGTGCATAAAAAAACAGGACTATCAATGTTTTGGACAAAATATCCTAAATTTTTGTTTGTTTGCTTTATGAGACATACAAAAATTCTGCCACATTTTTAAGTTTAACTTTTGCCCTGCCCCCTTCCCCACATTAAGAAAATATTATTGTAAAATTGACCTAGTTGCCCAAGTTACTAAAAGTTACTCCAGCTGTTTACCCGCACTTGAACGATTTTACTAAATTTTCGGTACTATGTGAGTATGTTGCAACTACAACAGGTACTCTAGTCATGTTAAATGTAAACATGAAGGAGTGAGGTATCCTTAACCTAAATATGATTATGCTTCAACTACAGCAGGTACTCTAGTCATGTAAACATGAAGGAGTGAGGTATCCTTAACCTAAATATGATTATGCTGCAACTACAGCAAATGATCTGAAAAAAACATATTGAAAGTAAACACAAAGTAGGAAATAAAAAACTAATCAATATTGTAACTTATTCTGATCCCACATCTAACTGAAAATTTTAAAATCACATTTCCGGGGCTAACATTGATATAGTCTTAAAACAGAGAAGTCTAAGTTTTTGTACCTCTTAGTTTTTATTCATTTGAATTTTTTCATTTTTTTTGGGGTCGTTATTTTGTATCATATTTATTCTAAGTCTCATCCAGTCATACATAATAATTTTTCAGTTAACAATACATTTGAAAATATTACAATTCTAATATATGTTACGAAGTTACAAGTTTGCAGATTTTTGACTAAAACTTTTAATTTTATTTATGAAAATACAACTTTATAAGAAATTTTATCAAATGAAATTAAAGACTTTTGATCGTAAGGATTTTCTTTTTAAATCAATAGGAATAACTCAGTAGAATTATTTAATACTGTATGTAATCATGAGATGTTTACGAATTTGTCCTCTTTTTGTTCTTTATTGAGCTAGGTCTTGTTGTTATAGACCTACACTTTATGTATTTTTCATAGTATTGTTAACATTTGAAACTCACGAGTTGGTCTTTCACTTTTAGGAAGGTTTGGAATAGAAATAGGTTTATATTTTGTTGAGTTTTTTAGAAATAATTCCATCCTTTCTCGTTTCTTTGAAAGTGCAGTGTTTGAAAAATATTGACAGCTTTTCTTCAATGATGTTTAGTACAGTTAAATTATATTAGACTGTTTAAGTCTCCCTTTTGAATATACAACGATAAGAAGTCATGTTGAATAAGAGACAAAAGTTTAAAACTGACAAAATACTTGGATTCCAGACAAATTAAAAAAAATCAATATAAAATCATTTGAAAATATGAGGAACTTAACATTTTTACATCTCTGGACGTTTTTCTAATCTGGAGAACTGGATAAATTTTTATGTATTACTGTTCTCATTCTATTTAACTTTTTTAAGAGAGGATCATAGGAAAGATAAATAAACACAGAAATATTAAGAGGAGGAAGATTTTACTTGTATTAGTTTTATATTTTTCTTCTTTTTTTCTCCGTCTCTGATTTCGCCTTCTGTATATAGAAAACAAAGATAATTAAATCCTTAGTCCATAAAACTTCAAACGGTTTCGCCTAAGGAATCTATTATAAAAGGTGTCAATATTTTTTTCAAAACAGGGTTTTTTTTTGGGGGGGGCACAAATATTTTTTTTTGCTGCCCCCCTACACAAATGCTCTCGTAGGCCCCTGAAAGGCTGTATTTCATTAAGTATGCTTCATTTACTTTTCAGATAAAATGGCAGAGATTATGAAGAAAGAATTAGATATCAAGGACTTTGAGATGACATCTACTGTAGAGAATACATGTTTTATTGATATACCTGAAGATGAAATTAAGATGGAAAATATAGAAGTAAAAGGTAAACTAAAAAATTAAAATATTATTTTTTAACAATGGAACAATGGCGTGGCCCACCGAAATATAAGAATGAATTATCAGAATCTTCTTGTTAACAATTTTTGCATAAGACACACATGTTTTTGATTCTCCTTATTATCAACTTTTAGTAGTTAGAGGACGGGTGCACCTCAATTGTAGTTTTAACTCATAACTCTTAAGCTTAATAGTGAGGACACTACAGTACACTCCAATTATTTCATGTAAGTAGCCGAATTTCAAGTTGTACACTGTACAGTACAAATACAGACTATATAAGGCAAAAAGGGATAGTGCGCCAAATGAATGATCCCCTTCTAGTGAAATATATGTAAGGGGGGAGGGCAGTGGCGGACATAAGGGGGGTTATTGGGGTTATTTACCCCCCCCTAGAATCCTGGGGGTAAATACCCCCCCCTAGAATCCTGGGGGTAAA